GAACGGGGAACGGGTGTACAGCGGTAACCCACCTGAGAATTCAAAATGGCGGAGTAAACGATGTTTACAAACACTGATTTTATCGCTAGGTCGCCGCTTGCAGCGAAATTAGACGACTCGCTTTTATTTAACTATTGCCCAGGCGAAGCCACGAAGCCTAGTATTCCGAGGCGAGAATTCGAAGTCAACGTTTCTGCAATGGCTGCCACCATTTGTTCTGACGTCTCTCTTTGTTTTTCCTTCCTGAAATCTGCATCTTTTGGCAGAGTTTGGGTATGTTGGTTGTTTGCATTGCCCAACAGCATTTTTTGCAGATAAGTAGCAAGGAGGTAATATCTTAGATTAACAGAAATGAGCTAGGAAACGTAATAACCAGCCTAGTTATTAAAATTACTACATGCAGATATCTGCTTACCTTACCGCAAAATAACATCAGGAACATATCTTTGTATCGACCCATAAACTTCCATGTAAACAATAGAGAAATCAAACATTGACAGAACTTTTAATAACATTTAATTTAACAGGAAAACATCAGTTATGTCTTCAAGAATGTAGGTGTATGAATTCACATTCATGCTAATGCTTACAATAATATTTACACTGCATTTATCATATTCAAGAGAAAGCGATTCCCATAATGGGCGTGAAAGTCATTCGGCTGTTTGCTTTACAACATTATTGATATTGCTAGGTTGTAACGGTGAAGATATTAGAGGTAAACTTCATTACCTTGAAGTACAATTACTCTATGAATATAAGAATAAATGCCGCGAGCTTGTAGTTCTGAGTTTATTGTTCAAATGTTGTGCATGAATTGTAAGATACTCACCTCTCCGAGGATTTGATTTCTATGCAACCTGCAAAGTGTGCCAGACAAAAACTAAATTCATGAGGCACTCAACATTTCAAAGTAAATCCGTCAATAAAACCTACACTGAGCGTCCATGCTTTTTGCTCCGACGATTGCGTTCGAAGAGCACGTGCTCAAAACTAGTTGCCAGACCCTTTTAGTTCCCTTTACTCCACCATTTTGAATTCTCAGGCGGGTTACCGCTGTACACCCGCTCCCTGTTTCCCGTACCTCGTTTTAGTAACATCCCTCGGTGCCACACACCTCACTGATTATTTATTGTCAAAATGAAATAATATATCAATTGACGATAAACATTAATTGCAGTTTAAGTGACAAACAGCATTTCATGGAACATACTTTTCCAATCTGTTGTTGGTACTAAGAGCTCACTCACGCATTTTTTTAAATAAATCTTTAAAATTTTTATTGAGGTCACAAAAAATCTTTAAAATTTTTATTAAGGTCAAGTCAACAAAAAAAAGATATGTCAGTTGATGATAAATTCAAGCAGCAATTCTAGAAACAAAATTCAATTTTGGAGCATATTGTCAGGTTTTAGTCTCTTGAACTTAAACAATGTTAGTACTTGGGCTCGAAGATCCAAACTGAATCACTTGTCTAATTTGATGTTAACGGCAAGAAGAACTTGCGGAGTATACTCTTTTAATTTGGATCACGATTCATAACAATTAGGCTCAGGCTAAGGGATTAGCCATTTAAATTGAAAAGAAGAGATTCGTATATGTTAAGACATAAGAGAATTAAACTTGTCAGAGATCTCGAAACATTCTGGAAAAAAAATCAACAAATGATAATTGTGGAAGCATACTTAAAATTGTTTTTGTTTATCTCAAGGGATGAGACATTAAGCAATTGAGCTCCAAAAACTTTAGCGAAGGAGGTAATAATGAAAGAAATTATCAGACTCAACTTATCAGAGATCTAAAACAAAATTCTGTAACTTACTTTGAGTAACTTAAATTGTTTTTAGCCTGAACATCCGAGACATTCAGGCTCCAGGTTGATCGAAACTCGTTATCAAATGAATGCCTTCTTGAACATCTCATGGTCATCATCCTGGCATGTTATACAACAGCAAAATGATGCCTTAAAAGAAAATCTCCTCGCCTAGTATCTGCTGTAAGTGCCCATCAGTTTACCCTTGAATAAAGATTGCCTTGCTGAAGTAAAACATCCCGAAAAAATTACAAATTATCTTCTAATATCTTGGCCAAGGGTAGTATTACATCCACTTGAAGGTTACAAAAGTACTAATCGTCGTGCGAAACCAGCCTAGATTCAGACAATCATTTTGATGCGAGCAGGAATTTAAAAGCAATTTCCGGGAAATTCATGCTAAGACATGCTAGGCCGCAGACTTGTACCTTGTAAAATGTCTGCACTTTAGCAGTAAGAAATCTTTTTACAAAGATCTAGGAAAAATTGGATGCTCAGTATCATTCTTATCATTATTCTCTACTCTTATAACTTAAAGATAATTTGATAAGCTAAACCGTTCCTATGGTTGCTTGAAAGGTCAGATGGATTGTCATAACATGCATTCGGACTACAGGGTAATTCTTTGACACTTGTGAGACAGATAAAAAGATTCATTGTAAAATTAATTAATCAAACGAAAAGTGCAGAAACAAGTGAAAGCCACCTCAATCAGAAAGAGATCAAAGAAATCTGACTGTGAAAAAGATCGATTCTTTTCTTAATTTGCAGTTTTTCTCCATTATTGACCGAGCTAGTTTCGAATTGAAAACATTTGGTAAATCCAGGTTAAATTGTTCAACACAAACGATTAGGCCTACGATCAGCGTCAAGATTAGTCGACACATTTTGTCGGAAGAGTTCTATTTATGCGAAGAATGACATTCTTGTTTCTACCACACTATAAATCATTAACAGCCCTCTTCCCAATTCAATATAAGCTGAATACGTTCATACTTATGTGCTTTTCATTCTTAGTAATAAAGTTCATCGTCTGGATCGAAAAACTTACGTAGAGCCGACATTTTCTGCTGACAAATTCAATGTCCTTTGGTCTTATTGAACAAAGGCATTAGGAAATTTCATTGTAATAATTAACGAAGCATTCGAAAACGAATTGTGTATTTAATTGGGAATAACCTAGCTAAATTTGACCATTGGCCTTTTAGCTTAGGACTACACGGGTATTTGACAAGCTTACTGTTGTTATGCTAATTTAAAAGCAATGTTTGCCACTAAGAGATATGGAGCGATAGAATTGCTTCATTTCAAAACTAAAGTTTGTTTTTATTTCAACAAACTTTTAGGCATAGATGGGTAAATGCATTAAAATCTATAAACCAGCCTAGTATTGGGTGTTATCCTTTTTTTTTCCTCTCCAGTTCACTTCGTGATTTCCAAGCTGTTTCATCTTGTGCTTGGCGTTGTCCTAACTGAAAAAAGGAGAGACGGTGTGAGTATATGCGTACCCTTTGACTTTTACATTGTTATTTGACAAGCTAAACAACGCCAACAATTATAAAGTGCTTCTTTGAAATTCGTATTATAACACCAGCATAAACAGACCAGTAATCCTCTTCTCCTTTGGCCGGCGATGTCGGAGGGTAACGGGAAGCGTTTAAAACACATACACTTTAGGTCAACGCACTATGATCACATAAACTAGTTGAAAAAAATGTATAGGAATGAAAAGAGAAATATATATATATATATTGGCGATAAGTACACAAACAATAAAGTGTGAACTTCTCGTGTTGCCACTAAAGTTACGTTCAAGAAGAACTGTCATGGCGGCGGCTGCCGCTGAGGATTTGTTCTCATTGTGCTATCTGCATTACGCTCTTCCTTCTTACATTTGACTCTGTGAATTGATTTTACAAGACTCACAACGAGAAAGATTAACACTGCATTACTATCCATGCATGCATATATCTTTCTATAGGTTATTTACCTGAAGAAATGTAAAAGCATGAATTCTCGACATGGTATCTGAAGCACTTGATCCAGTACCGGAAACACTCGCTGAAATGGACAGAACAGACAATATCCAGATGGTAGTGAAGAAATAACGTGTTTTCCGACTCTGCAGAAGCTAAAAGAGACTTTCAAATTTCTTCTTGTTCTTGAGCTCTCTCCACGTGCAAGAGTAGGCGCAAATATGAATATTACTTGTGAAATTTAGTTGTAATTCAAATGAGTTTTCCGACTTCAAGAGGCGGGTTCAAAATAATCGACAACAAGTTCTTCAGTCTAATCCAGACTTGATCCATTCAATTACTGTACAGTTACTGTATAAAACAAAGTAGGATGCCTCGCTTTAGACATATTTTCAACTTAAGTAAATGAGTTCAATAGAGAGTTACAAATAATGTTGTAATTTTAGAAACATAAACTCGAACGTAACTTCATTTGAACTTAAACATCTTGCATTTTTGAGTTTTTAAACCATAAAACCTGGGCTGTATGCTTCTGGTCATTGACTATTGGTTAACCAGAACTCCGCGGTATATCGATCTGTTTTTCTTTTCCATGGGCATCTCGAGTCGATAAGGTGCTGCTTTTTTTGCAATCTGAACAAGATCAGCTTCGAAGAAATACGTTGCAGTCGAAGGAAGGTGGCATAGGGTTCATAGGTGACGCGTGATTTAGGCCAAAATTGATATGTGATGCGTGAATTTGGTAGAGAGGCGAGCGTGACTCGCGAATTTTTCTTTCATTTCGCGAAAAACTTAAGATTTCCCTGAAACTTAGTGCATAAGAAGAGAGATTTGAAGTTTTCCCTTTTACATACGTGACGCGTGAATTTTTCTAAAATTTGTGCGGGGAAACTGGATCAGGGCCCCCCTTTGCTACCCTCACAAAGGAGGGTATATTTCCAAGGTCTATTCGTGTTCACTAGCCTAGTGAGGGAGAGAGTGGGGGGAGCCAAACTTTAACATGGTTAAATCTTAGATATTGACAAAGACTCGAAAGAGATTCTATACCTTCACCGCACTTTAACTTAGCCAGATACAAACAGAATTTAAAAGAAGAAACTGAGTCATTGAGTTGAAGAAATGATGGTCAGTTTATAGGTCTTTACTCTTTCCGTGTGGATTCACAGCTGTACGGGGTGAAGTGAAATGACCATCAAAAAAGCAAATAAACAAACAGCAGAAGCGACAAGGAAATTCTCTTGAATACAACTAGTCGTCGATATTTCATGAGGTTCGTGAGTTTCTAGGTGTTCACCATATATTTTGTCAATCATAGTTTCGTTAAAGGACTAGTTTGCCCGCTTTGAAATTTTCGCAGGTCGATTTGTGTTGTTGGATCGGAAATATTTCACTTTCGTAAGTTTTATCGTTTCAAATTCATTTGTTGTGGAGTGGTATGATCGATATTTAGTCAAACACGCATACAAATGATTAAGTTAAGCAATATCTTAGTGCTTTGGTGAAAGGCAAGAAATGATCATTACCATTGCTGTCTACCTCCGAACCGTTTTGACAGCAATTTCAAAACATTTGCTTCTACCATGAATATAAGACATATTTTTTGTGAGTACTCCATATCAGACGTGTTATATTTCTACACCAGAGATGTATGTATGAGCCTTGTGTTGGGCAGTTTCAGCCACAACCCTTAGATTATATGACTGATAGTTTTCCACTTAGATTTGGTGAGATTGAGAAGGATAATTTCCAAGATAAATGCGATTTTATGTCTGCCTCTTTCTCATTGCTTAAGCTTGTCTGCTGACATTCCATTGTCTTAGGACTGAGATAATTCAGTTCTGATGAAACCTATTTGATCTGTAATCATGAGTGTCCTTGTGGATTCTCTTTCCCCGATAGCCTCAGTTATCCATCCAGCTATACCTCACTACCTCAATAAGATTTACTTCTTCCATTAGCAATAAAAACCATCCCACTACTTAAGATATTGAGATCCGAAACCCTCTGGCCTAAATTTTGATTAATTCACTACACACGACTTCCATTCGGATCAAGATATTATAAATAGTCTGAAGAGAAATTCGTTCTCCTTTTTAAACTGCAATATCTCGAGCTTGCGAGCCAACTTTTCTCATCTGCTTGATATGTCTGCTGAATTATATTTCCGGCCCAATATCTAACATAAGACCAGATAAGGGTAATTGAGACGGAGCTAAAGAATGGCCAAGAACCCCGGCTTCCTTAATATATATATTTCAGGTTGCAGTTTTTTGTCCAAACCAGTTGGCTTCCGATATTAAGAATTGTCTTGGATATTCTCATCATACAGATCTCTCCACACAGGTAAAAATGACAATGAATCTTTATGGATTGTAATGCAAAGTGATTCAGTCCACAATACAATCTATGGCGGAGTATTTTTTTACAGACACCTTCACGGCAATTAAAATACCTTTCTATAAAATCGTATTCATCGTGAAAGCAAATAATGTTTTCTATTGAAAGATTGAACCACCTCAAGTTTGAATCACATCCTAATACAGACAGTTTCCTAAATAAGGTAGTTTTGATTTTATCAATTGAGTTTCGAGGATTAGCCTTCGTCGGAACGAATGGCGAAGGGCTAATGATCGAACGTCAGCTTTGAAACTATTTACGGTGGCTAATTTACATTATCAACTCAGTTGATAAAACCAAAATTACCTTATTATACTCTCCAACGACGTAGCACCAGAATTTCTTTAGAAAGTTACCCCACTTTATTCAATTTCCTACATAATAATACATAAAACATAATCAAATTTTGCAGCCAAACAAAAAAACAGATCACCCAAAAACTCTCAAGACAACATTTTAATCTATTTAATTTCCTTGAGCACTTTCCTTTCATCAGTGGAATTTATATGTGACAATCTATCTGACCATCTACCAAATTTTCTCATGGTCAGTAGTTTATCCTCTGCACCAACCAACCTCAACGTATTCAAACGTGACTATTCAAATTTAGATAAAAAAGCCTTGATTACTAACATACAATCAGTGCAATCAAAAAAATTTACTGCTATGGAACCAGAACAGCCAGTAATTATCGAACACGTTTGGATTGTACAAATCTCAATGAGAAATTTACAATCCTCTATCAAGGTTCTAAGATTTGAAACTCTCTTCCTGTATCAGTCACTCGTTCGTCAAGTTTTCTTAGTTTTAAGACGAAAATGTAAGAGTTTTTACTTAAATAATCATTGAATTGGTCAAGCCGCTCTTTCGCAGCATTTTAAAATGTTGTATGTGATGTGGTTTTTCTCATAAGCCAGGAAGTTTCCTGAGGTCTCCTCGCCCCATAGTTATAATGCTGTTAAGTTATGTTATTTTTTTTTTGTTTTGTTTTTTTTTTGCTAAAAACGGCAAATAAACGGGGTTATGGCTGGTTCTGACCCACGCAGTATGTTTGATAATTTCCGCGGTAAGATATCTGAGGTTATTGATCTACTTGTACCTATCACGCGATTTCTAACCAAGAATCAAAACGTTGCAATTAACCATGGAAGTTAACATATGGAATCAAGACCTCTATTAGAACAGAGAGTGGTTTATTTAAGAAGTTCTTAGAGAAGAAATCTACCTACTACCACGCAAGAAAAACATTTCGCTCGTTCGCTGCGCTTACTCGTAAGATGTTGTCCGTGCCACTCGAACATAGAATTCATATCGATTCGTATCTTCTCGCCACCGTGCAATGTCTGATTAAAATATGTTACACATATCATACATGTGTTTTTCATACATATAACATATGTATAATATGTAATGAACTTCTCCGGTCCCTATAAATGAGTTATTTTGAACTATAGAACAGGTTGTTTCGAATTGGTCTGAACATCGAGGCTACTGCTGTGTCAGTGTAGAGAACAATGGAAAACCGTTTTGCTTCAATTTGGCGATATTTTCGAGCTGGCGATCCAGGGTTTGAATTAACAGAGACTGTATTTAACTTACACAACCGGAGAACAGCATGTACCGAGCAGATTTACGTACAAGATTCCGGGCAGAATAATTGAACAAAAATAAAACGAGATCATTACAAAGTCGAGAAAGAGAGGCGGGCAGAAAATGCTCAGTTATCAGCAAAGCAAATCACCAAGACTTAGGCTACTCCACGCTTAAAAATAATTCAAAAATTAGATGTAGACTTTGTTCCGGGTGAATAAGCCATTTGAAATTTGAACAAGTCAATTGAAGTGGAAAGTAGAGAAGGCATTCAAAATATATCATCCCGCGCATTGTTTTTAAATCAGGAAAGGTAATGAAGTATCTTTTTGATTGAATTCGTTCTTCGGTTTTTTAAAGCTGAACTGTGTATTTTTTCTTGTTATCCAGGCCCTAAGAGTTTGTTTCGTAAGTCTCTCAGTGCAGTTCTCTACTTAAGCACTAACTCAATAGCCCATAATCGGCGAAACGTTGATTTAGGAAGGTAAAATTAAATTTTGACACCGGGCACTGGCATGAATGGGCCGAGCCCAGTAGATCTTGTCGCCGTGACAGTCGAGAATTTGGAAAGCTTGAAAAATCCGCAAAACTTTCTTGTTTTTGAATCGGTTTGAAAGCTTTACATTTCTCGGAATCCGAAATTTTCCCTCTGACTAGAAAGGATAAGTTTTGTATCTGTGACCGTTGTCGTTTGCTTGAGTGTTAAACGTCATTGGTTCCATCCATTGTACGTGAACTCGGGAAAGCTTGCGCCGATTCTAAATAAGTTGAAGATTTAGTTTCCAAGATTGACGATTTTTTGTTTTGAAGGCTTACGAACCGATTCTAAATAAGTTTAAGATTTAGTGTCCAAGATTGAAGATTTCAGTACTGGGTAGTTTTGTTCCATAGGGCATCAAGATCAATTTCACGATTATGCAAAAATATTCGAGAGTACATTCGGCACTAAAAGATAATTCTTGACCGGCAAGCTTGAATTTGAATCACAGCTCGTGTAATACAACTAGATAGTCGCACCTTTAACTTTCCAAATATCATGACACAGCCCCTCAAAACCTGCTTGCATTCATCCACGTCTGTACTTTGGGGGTTCACCAAACCATGATTGCTCTTCGCCCCGACCAGAGTTAACTCAAGTTTGCCCTGAGTAAACTTTTGAAAATTGAGACGCTAAATGTTTTATGCAGACTTAAAACAAAAAAACTACTTTATGATGTTTTCTTTTTTTGTTTTTTACTTTTTTTTCGGTTTTACGTTCAAATCGGCTGCTTGAGGCAAACAATTTTGCAAGGTGAACCGATGAAATTAGTTATTGTTCCCCTGTTAGTTGAATGCTGCGGGCGTTGGTTGAGTGGAGATAACGCAAAAAAGCGTGGGTAGGGATGACAAAAGGAGCAAAGTGTTATTCCATGCGAGCAAACTTCGCTAGAGGTCTCTGACTGACAACCGCGCCAGACGAGAAACAAAGTTTAAGTCTTATCCTTTTCCGGTATCATTAGAAGAATTCATTTTTTTAAAAAAAAAAATAATGACCTGTTCTTCCCAAAGTGGGCCTTTCCCTTCGTGGACGTATGGTATCGAACTCGAGATAAGCCTGATCTTACTAGTGTATCTAGAGCTGCGGATCTTTTATGTTCAAATTTCTGAGGCTTGTTCAGTGTAATGCCAAAAGGGGAACCCTCAATTGGGCCACCAAGAAGCAAAATACCTTGTTATTACATAACTTGTAAAAGATACCATTAACCCCAGGTTCAAAGATTACCCATCAAAATGTCAAATGACTCATTCGCTCTCTCTTTCCTACTTTCCCTGTTTCCTGAACTGTTTCAGTTCAGGAAACGGGAGCAACACGCGAAGAAACACTTTTTGTGAGAGCGAACCCACTGCAAAGTCGCAAGAAAAACTTGCATGTTCTTTTTGAACACGTTTTGGACAGAACCCAAAGGTATGAACTTGTATCAGCTGGAAAAGTTTCGACCGATACCACGTGTTGTTTGTACTGTGCAATGTTTCAGAAGTCCAAAAGTCGCCATGGCTTAGGGAGGTTTTTAGAGATTTGACGCCAATCAAACAGATAATTGCGGGCAAAATAATCTAGTAGTGGGCGTTATAATTATATAAAGCGATTTTGGTCCTGACTTAAAGGAAGCTCTGTTGGTTTATTATATAAGATGATTTAAAGAAAACAGAAGGAAATATAAATATGACTTAGGATCTTACATCGCCGCTGAAAAATTCCAAAGAACTTTGTACCCTGAAGTAGTCTAAACACTTCTTTTTCCGCTATCCGCATTACTAAAAAGTATATGTTTGAGGCCACTTGAATGCCGGATTGTTTTGGTTTAATTTATCAGGAATGTCATCAACAAAAGTGGAACCAAGATATTATTTTTTTTTTATATTTCGGTCAGTTATTTCTCAAGCGCAGAACATTTGGAAAGAAGCAGGTTTTATTTCGCTGATGCCAACCATGCTAGCTTAAGATCTTGCCGAGTCAAATGAAAGATAGAAGTTTCCCAAGTTTTTGCGGTCCCTCTTCTATTTTTCAGGGGATTCCAGACTTCACATGCAGTAAAAACATTTCAGAACTATCGGTTATTGACGTGTTATAGTTATAAACTTCTACCTCCGATTTGGCAGTTAATTTATAAGAAAAATACAGGGACATTGAAGCTTTTTTTCCCTGAGAATTAATATCGTTATCTGCTGACCGCAGGTCCAAGCGACTGCGTTTTTATGAGCGATAGCGATGGAAAGAGAAAATCTTAAATGGGATGATTGATGATTGAGCTGAAAGGTATTAGAATTAATTAATGAGTTATTGCCCTGACAATGGGATGTGCATTTATCAAGGAATAAAACGGAGGTTTAAGCTGTAGTTAGCTTAACGTTGATAAAGCCTCTGTGTCCAATTTGCAACAAAACAGTTTAAAAAACTAACCATCAATTGGAATAAAAGTGACGTTGAAACGGTAAGCGCCTAAGCTAATTTCCTGTTGTTTACACGTGCTAGAATGAGCTGGCACGATTTTTTATTTTGCATAAGAACATTGTATGTTAATATGTTAAAGTACGTGACTGAGGGATAGAAGGAGAGAAAGAGAGAAATAATCAGCCTATAAATAGAAGAAATTAAGGTGAATAATGAGAAAATCGTGAAGGAGACTCAGGAAGCCTTGTCAACAGAGAACTAAAAGGTCAAGAAGTTGGTTTAAGAGGTGAACGTTTTTAAATGGTTTATTTTGAAGCGATAATGGTGCTAAAGACGCTATCCTGTATTTAACAATAAATGATCATGCAATATTTCTCCTGCAACATGCATGCCAAAGTCAAGATAAGACTAAAAAATTGCGCAGCCTAACTTCTAAAATACCTATTTAATACCGGGAATTTTGTTTACTGGCATGCTGCCATGTTTGTCTCTTGGTCTCTTGCACTCAATCAAAAAAAATGAAGTCCAGATTCATTTGTGACTGAATGCGTTAAAAAGCGAAGTAACTCTAGCGAATCATTTTTTATTGCCAGTATCTAAGGCAAGGGAGTTGATGTGTGAACTTTAGGACGAACTTCATTTTTTCCGTTCAGGTGTAATGTAATAAGACTCTAGAAATGCGTTTAAGAGTCATACTGGCGTCCTTAATTTTATCATTATCTTTTAAGTTTTCCGGTTAGTTTTGAGGGGGAAGTTTTAAGATATATGAGAACGTACCGGGGTAAATTTTGGACATTTTTTTTTCTAAGAATTTAATTTTATTACCGCATAAAATATGGAATTTCTCAGAGGCGCTTAAATATGCCCGAAGAAACGAATCAGCAATTAGCGCCGGCAACAAAATGTGATACTATCTTTTGTTTTGCCTATGGTTCAAGGATGCGCAACATTTGGAAATAAATTAAGTTAGTCTATTTACAGTTTTTCGTTGATAAAAATGAAAGCTTTGGTAGATGTTGACGTAAGCGAGGGATAGTATCGCGTCAACGCCGGCTCTAAGACACCTCCAACTCAATGTCATTATTACCAGGAAATTTTATATCCTTTCAAAAACAAAGTTAAATTTGCATTTTTTTAGTTCAGAGAACAACAATCAGGTGGGTTTCTTTGCACAAACATTCGCATAAGATTTTTCCTTAAGAGGGAAAATGTTTTGATATCCAGAGCTGTTGATCTATTCGACAAGATTTGGTCGTCTTTACAGTCCAAGAGCCAATTATATGGACGACAGGTGTCTAGACGAGAAGATAGGCAGATGTCTTGAAAAATAACCCGAAACAAAAAAATGCAGTATCTGTGGAAGTGAAATGCCCACTATTTCGAGCTCCGAATCGCTCCCATCAATGTCGAACACGATTATGATCTAGAGAGGTTTTTGAGGAAGGTTTCGTCAACAGAAATGCACGACACCAAGTTCTACCTCTAAAAGTATCACGTTCTAGAGATTTCTCAGTTGACCAACCGCATGTGGTTAAAAGATAGATTTCAAAAGCTTCCGTATACAAAGTGCTAACATGGTGGAAAAAATACGATAGTGAGAGTTCTGCAAACATCGATAAAATGAACTGAGTCAGAGTTTGGAGGCTAGTTGAAGAGAAGGTCTTGTGTTTTCACTCTAATCCTTTAAAAGACAAGTTAAAAACAATTCTCTTCTGCACTTCTGTGGCAGGCATAAAATCAAGGAACTTAAAAACTTTATACGATGGTGTCGAAATTTTCTCCTTTCCCGTTCGTCAATGTCAAACAAAACAATTAACATTTGTGTTGATTAAATTACGTAAAATCGATTTTATTCAACACTTACTCCGTAAGTGACGATTTGATTGGGTTTCATCAATTATCAAAGGGCCCTTTGATATTTGTTGCATGACATTTATAAAGCAGTAGAAAATCCGCTTCCTTCAACACCAGTGGTCACGAATATTTATGGTAAATTCCATTTTCGTGCAAGAGTACACCCAGCTTATTTTTTATATCCATAAGAAGCTGTTTATCTGACTGACTTTAAATACCACAATTTCTTACTCTGCAGCAGACAAACAAGGAATTTGTGATGTTTGTGTTAGCTTCCAGACATTAGTTGTTGTTGTTTTGAAACCAGTCGCCCAATAAAGTTCTGTGTTTCGGATAATACAAAATGAGAGAAAATAGTATCCATCTTCCGAAAATTATCATCTCTTCAGCAAAATTGTGTGTTTAAGCAAATCGATTTTCTAAATCGTTTTCCTGAAAAGTTCCGGCAATTTAATGCCTTGAGAAAAGCAAGTTAATAGTGATAAGCAAATACTCCAAAGGCTGTTTACATATGACACAAATTTTTCCTGCATCCCTTTAAAGCAGGATGCTAAAGTGCAGAAACAATAACACTTAACTTTATCTGCGTGTATCTATTCCGGAAATCGTTTTGTTTTGCAATCTTTGTCCCATGACTATTTAGGGGAGGTACGTTCGACATCTAAAGTTATTAACCAGGAATAACTAAACGTGCAGGCAAGTTTGAGCATTTGACCTCGAGAAAACGCCGGTAAATCTGTTCGTCTGCCCTCAAAGACCAAAACAATTCAAGGTAAGAGATAGAAAACTGTAAGTGTTTCAACTCGATTCCAATTAACACGATTTGATTCATGTCAAACTAAAAAAAATATTGTCATTGTCTGACGGAGAAATTTAAAATTAACTGCGGAAAAGTGTCTATCACTTAAGTATGTCTTTTGTGTTAGCCTTGTACTTGATGTAATTTTTTAGTGAGTTTTTCATTTCAATTTTAGAGCTTAAGTATTTGTACAGAGGAACTTGAACTTATTTAACATTTCGTGTGTGAAATTCGTCTTCAATTTGAAGTGGCAGTTTAAGTCGACAATTGTTTGTACACTTGAAATATACGCGGACAAGCTCAGAGCTCAGCAGGATCAAATGCATTTGGTTTAGGTTGTTATTAAATGTTTCGTTACTGTAATAGCTTGGACTTCCCTTTAGTAGAACTGAAAGCAAAAGCAACAGTAATTTTCCTCAATTGACCAAGCTCGCTCAATTTTTATCTGAGCAAGATTTTTTTTTATGAGGGCGCTGCGCTCTTGGGAAATCCCAAAATTTGAATTTCAAAATACATTAAGAAACTTAAGCTTCAAGGCTTTTAGGATAATTTACGTAAGATATAGAACATACAGCTGCAGAATATCAGCTTACGAATTCTGCGACGTGGAACTAAAATTTCAACCAATTGGGTTTCGCTTATGCCATATCTTCCCATTTTGAGAACAATGCTACCCGAGAAACGTCAGCTTTTGTAATCGTTAAGGTGGCCAATTTACCATTTCAACTTTGTTGATATATCCAAATTATTACCTGAGAAACTAATTGGCAAATGACAGAGATGCCGCATATATTTGATTAGTTTGTCCTCTTGCTGATGAAAAGAACTTAAAGTAGGTATCTACGTGATCTAATAACCCACTAGTGCTGACAGTGCAGGTAGAAATTATCGAGAGACTAATGCTTTTGCTCCGAATTTCAAATAATCAAAGCACGTGCCTTTTAACTGGATTCGACTGATTGGAACGTGCTGTTTTCAAGACGAATGTTATCTACATGCTTTCAAATTTTGACAAACAACTAAAGTTATAGTCCTGTTGAGGCACTTGATAGCTGATCATCAGACCAAGGAAAACTTATAAATAGCAAATGACGTCATGTTCTTTCTCAGAGGAGATCACCCCGGGAGTAGAGGGGTTTTTTAGAAGGTACACATTTTCCCGACACGCAGAAAGAGTAAATCTGGAATCAGAGGACATGGCTGTCAATTTTGCTGCAAGAACTACAAGCTTTACCTATCTACTAGGAAGAGTTTGCCCCATAGGTTGTGAGTTTCATTCGAAAGGCATATTTTAGGAATAATCTACTTTAAGGACCTCAGCTACGGCTAGAAGAAAATTTGCAAAACAACGAAAAAAGACACGCGAAAGCAGAACAAAACATTTGAAGCGGACCTGACTAAAGAGCACTGCTTGTTTGTGTGATATCATAGTTTATCAACAACGGCTTCAATTTACAAAAAATATTGTCGTCAGAAGAATGAAAACAACAGTTTGAGTTTTTTGCTTATATCGACTTTCTCTATTTTCTTGCAGATGAACACCATTCAAATGGCAGGACTTGTTTTCTACATTATGCTCAGCATTACTTTAAGCAGTAGCAGTCCATTGGAGAGAATAAAACGTTCCCTACAAGCCGCAGCTGGTTACTGTCCCCCCGGCGTATGGACATGCCTCACAGAAGAGCGCGACCATAAGAGGATTGAAGAACCTAACCAAGAGGACTCTTCTGTTGGAGCTGACAGAGTCGCTAGGTTCGCTCGCGCCTGCCCTCCTGGAGTGTGGACCTGCATTCATGCAGGAAGGCTTCGTGCAGAGAAAAGAAATATAAAGTTGGAAAAAATGTCGAAGCAGCGAAGGAGAGTCCAGAGATCGGTTAAGAATTGTCCCCCCGGAATCTGGATGTGTTAAGCCAACCGTCTACAATCCGCCTGAAAGTCTTCAAGATTATTTTGACGAAACGTAGAATGCGACGAAAAGGACCTTGTTGTAGTTTTGCTCATTAACTTAACAATATTAGCTTTCCAATTTAAAATTATTATCATATATTTAAACCTATTTTAAAGCACACCTCTGCTAAAGGGTTAAAGAACTGAGTTTTATTTAAAGCGTGTATTCAGTGTTATTACTTGTCTAGTTTGTTAAGCCCATAGGGCGAATTACCGGATTAAAAACATGGCATAATAAGTTTGGTGGTCTTTGTCTTTAATCGGAAAATAACATTATGGTGGGAATTCCATTGTGTGACATTGCATTAGCCTTCCGGTCACGCAACACTAAATTCGAGACAACCCTACATTTGGCTTCCTCGCTTGTGTACTTCTAAAAGGTGATTGGAAAACGTGGGCATTCTTTTATATTTTCATGAAAAGTGAAAGCTTTACAGAAAGCTGAAAACAACCGTGAACCTTAAATAGCTTTCCTCAAATGTCTGCCATACATGTCTAAAAAACCATGAAGATTGTTTCGAAAATCCCCACTCTTAAAAAATTCTCCATTTTCACCACCAGTCATTCCTTGGTGAGCGTTTGGAAATACTAATTTTTGGCGTAGATTTGTCTCCCTCCCTCTCAAGGCAAATTGATCTTACATTTGAAAATTCATGCCATCCAACGTATGGAAAAAGCTACCCACGGCTAGTGTAGCGGATTTCTGTAACGTTAGGCTTTAGAACACACGAATCAGTGAACAGTTAGGCCCGGTTCAGACGCGGAACTCTTCATGATCCGAGCTCAATTCAAATTTGAATCGACCCAATTTAACAAAAGTACGCCTGTTTATTAAGAGGCCGTTCTTTTCGGCCGTTCCAAATATATTTCCAGTAAAACCAGTCAGACTGCTTGCAAAATACATTATCATAGTTTATGCATTAGGATCGGCACATGAAAAGTACGGCGTCTGAATCAAAGCCGTTCCAAAGGCATTCCAAAGGAGAAGTTCTCGGCCAAGCCAGGCGGGGAGAACGGGTAAGCCGTTCCAGATTGAAATAACACGGTTCCAAATTGATTCAGGCGCCGATCTTTTCATGTATTTAACTCAAGGAGGGGGGCATTGGGGCCTCTGGGAAACCGCGAAACCGGAGAAAAAAACCTCCGAAACCGAAAAACCGACGAAAAAAGGCAGCAAAACCGAAAACCGCATGCAAACCTGACAAAGCCGCTACATTTTCACCTTTAAAGGGGTCGAAAAGGAAAAACCGGAAACCGCATCAGAGTTTTCGTGAAAACCGAATGCAAAAACACGTAAAATCCGCTAGCCGCTCTGAACATCAAAACCGAAAAACCGAACCTTTTTGGCCCAATAACCGAAAAACCGATCCAAAAAACACTCAAAACCGCAAACCCGAAAATCCCAAAGCCCCCCTCCTCAAGGAATTAGGTTCGGCTCATGAAAAGATCAGCGTCTGAACCTAGACTGCTTTGCAGCTATTTCCGGTGTCGTCACGCTACCAGAAATGGCTGCAAAGCAGTCTACATACTGAACCGGGCCTAATTCAGTAACAATCTAGTCATATATAATCCCATTTTCCTTAACTTTTGAACTGTGAACTGTGAAGTTGGGCTTAAAAATGCATTTTACGATCGAAAACCCATCTATCCAGCGAATAAATCGCTAACTTGTACAGTTAAATCTATGAAATCTTCTCCACTGTCCACGTTCTCAGTATCAGAGGGTCTTACTCGTCACACTATGTCCCATTGCTATTTTGAAAACTCGATAAATATTCACTTTTCTTTGGAAAAAGAGGGCCAGGATGACACAGAAATTCTGTGAGGCCTTTTCTCCTTCCCTCGCTCACTTCATCACCTAGCTAGATACGACCCCGTTTACTTTCCTCACGCACTGTCTAACGTCTGCATTTCTCGTTGTGATCACGCACACGGCCGCGGGGAAGGCAGGGGGAGATACTCTTTTCAAAAAGTCACCAAGGGTTTAACCTGGAACCCCCTGGATCTCGGCTATATCCTCGTTTACTTTACTTCCAATATATCATTTTTCATTTTATCAAAATGTATACAACGAAAGCACAGTTGAATAGCATCATTACTCCGATAAATATTATCGATCAAACATTTTCTCTTATCGACTCCAGCCCTGTCCCCCTGGCCCCACTGACTCAACCTTGACCTTCAAAGGATCCACTTCAGTCGCGACTTATACCCTTTGATGACCCCTCACACACGACCCCTACCTCTTACAAGGCATAAGCTTGTTTTTAATTTTTTACAACTATTATTGTTGTTAGCTTTCTTGGATATGCTTAACTCCTAATGTTCACTTATTCTAGGGAGATGACCCATTCCATGTCAATTTATTTAAATGGTCTTTAATCTTTTTCTAGCTTTGCAATTGTTTCTGAAATCGACGATTCCAAAAATTCGCGAACAGCACAACATCTGCTTAGTTGCAATGATGTAACAGGTATAAGTAGATAGACGAAAATAATACAATTTTGTCAGTTAGTCACCATTCCTCGCCCAGTCGCTACTCAAGAGAGGATAATAAGTGTAGTTTTTGCTAGGATGGAAATGACCACATGCTCGCACGTGTTCGGTAACGAACTTTTCACCTATCTTGGACCTACTGAACTCCTGTCAAAAGATGCGCAACAGGAGCATAAAAACTGCTTTTATTTCCATTATTCTTTTTTTGACTTGTAACTAAATTGAGGGAAGAGTGTAATTTCCGCTTGAAGGGGTTTATGAAGAGGTCATGCATAAAGTTATAGCAATTTGCAAACGCTTTCGTACTCGATACGTGATGTTGCCATTCTTCTAAATGTCACTTATTATTTCCGCTTTTTTGGTCGAAGTTCTTTTAGTATTTGAAGTTACCATCGTTTGTTGCGCAAGTATCACGTCAGGTTACTACTGGGACCTTGGGTTACATATGTTTTTCCCCACAAAGAAACATTAAATTGATTCTTGCTCTGACATGAAAGCGTGAAAGCGTGAAAGCCTGAAAGCGTGAAAACGTGAAAGCGTGAAAGCGTTAAAGCGTGAAAGCGTTAAAGCGTGAAAGCGTAAAAGCGTGAAATTTTACTAATAAAGCGCACGTGTGTAAATCCTTCCACAAAGATGTGAAACAAACTTAAATAAAAAATACTTCTTAGTTTCATAGTCATTTGAAAATTAAATGCAAGTTGGTAAGTCTACCCCACTGCCTTGTTATAGCCGTAGATTTTTATTGTTACTGTAATTACTAATACTATTATTATTATTATTGCTACTATCTTAAGTTTTCTAGTTAGTAAGTTAGTCTTTTCATAATGGGTTGACTAGCACGCATGGTTCGTCAGTTCCATTCTAGTTTACCCCCCTGCTTTGTTATGGACCTAAGATAAATACCTCGTATAAATTGGTGATGTGTATGACGTCACCACCATAACCCTCAAGTAAGATAAAAAGACGTCATTTTCAAGTAATGTAAGTTATGAAAGTTTGAAACAACAGATTGCGGAAGAATATACTAAAAAACCATTCATAAAAATTCCAGATGACACGTCATTGAATTTTATCAGATTGAAGCATAGGGCAAACCGTATGAAGAGTTATACAACAGATGTTGTAGAGCGGAAAGTGAGACAAATTACCATTAAGTATCTTTGTGGGGCTATTTGAAAGGCGCAACTGTGGAACAGCGGGGATTGTTGGTTTCCGTTAGAAAAAAGCAGTTCGCAGACATAAGCCAGAAGGGATACCAAACCTTGTGTGCAGTGAATTACCAATCACTGACACATTGGATCAGATCAAACACCCACGAGGAAGAGCTTGAAGCAAATACGAGGAAAAAAGGGTCTACGCCTTCTTTACATGGTAAGACTCAAGAGAAGATTTAAAATAGGAGTTAATACTTGTTTTTTTTTTTTTTCTCTGAAGGATTTCGATATTTAAGTAATATGAGAATATTCAAAGGCGTAATTTTTTTTCATCTTAGATCGTGTTACGAAATGTCACCATCAACTTAATTTCCTTTCCTTAAGATACTTTTCTGAACAATTGCAAAATAACACTCTAAAAGGGTTTCAATGAAGCGGATGGCTACTTCGAGGTGAAAATACTTGTATAAGCAAGTTCACATGATCATGTTCTAGCCATTAAAAGGGACTTGGATGATTACGAGAAGGGCTCTTTTATCTGATCAACATTTTGTGATTGGCGCTTAAGGCTTGACGTAACATTAAATTGTAGCAATCATAGCTATTTTTGTTGTTGTTGTTTTGTTTTGTTTTTCGGACGTGTCGGTAAAACCAGTAATGACTGGCTGAACTACTAATAATGACGCTGGTGCTGCGAAATGATGAGGCTGGTGATGCGCGGGCTTCTTCTTTCTTCGGTTCAAGCATGACGAAGGCGCCAGACGTGTTCCCGTTGTCTCCTTACAAATTGGTTTTTTACTCGGTAATTTTATCGGTACTATTTGTCGTTGATACTCATAATCAAGGTAACCAAGAAAGCTTTATCCATCAAAGAACGTTTTATCTTGCTACAAGAGACGATTCTTTGGTCCACGAATTAACTACATCAGCGGCCATGTTGCTACCTTCAACTGCTTTAGCCTGCTTAAATGTGGAGACATTTGTCCAAACCCGGGACGTTCATTGGCCTGTTACTCCTGCAGTAAAACTATACACAAAAAACAACGTTCCTACCGATGTCATGTCTGCTCTAACAACTTCCACATGATGTGCATCGACGGTAAAGCCGCCGGCCTACAACAAGATACGACGCCACGATTCTTCCATTCCGATGGTCTTGACAATGGACGAATGTCAACTCTGCTCTCTCTCTCTACCATCTACCGTTCTCTAATTGCGACAACTCTTCCAATGTCAACTCTGCTCTCTCTCTACCATCTACCGTTCTCTAATTGCGACAACTCTTCCAATGTCAACTCTGCTCTCTCTCTACCATCTACCGTTCTCTAATTGCGACAACTCTTCCAATGTCAACTCTGCTCTCTCTCTACCATCTACCGTTCTCTAATTGCGACAACTCTTCCATTTTCAACTCTTCGTGGTTTTCTTGGTCGTCGACTGCAAGTAGTTCCTTCAACCCTACAGACTGGTATTACGATAATATTCTATCATTAATTATTATAAAATTATAATAAATTATAATAAATAATAATTATAATAAATTATAATAAATTATAAAATTATTATAAATTAATTATTACGATAATAT